CCAGTGATCCCACTTCTAGGAATATACCCTAAGAAACCTGAAACACCAATAAGAAAGAATGCATGTACCCCTATATTCATAGCAGCACTATTTACAATAGCTAAGATCTGGAAACAGCCCAAGTGTCCATCAGTAGACGAATGGATAAAAAAGCTGTGGTACATATACACAATGGAGTACTATGCAGCGGTAAGAAAGAAAGATCTCTTGCCCTGGCCGGTTTGGCTCAGCGGTTAGAGCGTCGGCCTGCGGTCCTGAGAGACCCGGGTTCGGTTCCTGCTAAGGGCATGTACCTCGGTTGCAGTTTGTCCCCGGCCCTGGTCGGTTGTGCGGGTGGCAGCCACTCGATGTGTTCCTTTCACATCGATGTTTCTCTCTCTCTCTCTGTTCCTCTCTCTCCCTCCCACTCTACCTGAACAAAAAATGGAAAAATGTCCTCGGGTGAGGATTAAAAAAAAAAAAATACAAAAAAAGAAAGATCTCTTATCCTTTGAGACAATATGGAGGGACCTGGAGAGTATGATCCTAAGTGAAATAAGCCAAGCAGAGAAAGACAAATATCACATGATCTCACTTATTTGTGGAATATAATGAACAAAACAAACTGATGAACAAAATAGACCCAGAGACATAGAAGTAGGGTGCAGACTGACAAACCTCAGAAGAGGGGATGTGGGGGGGAGGGAAGAGATAAACCGCAGAACTTATATGCATGTATGCATAACTGATGGACATGGACAACAAAGCTGGGGATGGGGCGGGGGGGGGATGGGGAGGAGGTTGTCAATGGGGGAAAAAGGAGAAACATCTGTAACAAAAATATATTAATAAAAATAATTTTAAAAAAAGGAAATGTCTTCGATGACTTAGAATCAGTTTTTAAGCAACAACATTCAAGTTGTCTGTGAATTTGATGTTACCCTTTATAGAAGTCCTGACAGTTTCCAGCTGTGCTAATTACTTGAGACAGTGTATCCCTGCTCTCTCGTTCTCCAAGCTCAGCTCAGCTGTCTCCTCCTCTCTGAAGATGTCTCTTCTAAGACCGCCATGCCCTTGGATTTGTCCCCAAAGAATAGTCATTCCCTCCTCCATGTCCCTTAGAACTTTACACACACTTGGAACAAAGACCCCTCATCAGCACCCTGCTTGCTCGCCGTTAGTCCTGTTTTTATTGCCATTCTCATCTAGAATGAATGTTCCACCAGGTGGACTAATACACCATATGGATCTCTAACTTGTATCCGACTACCTTCTGCAGGAAGCAATAACTGAGATGGTGAAAATAACAGACAGTATCTGCTCTAGTCATCTCTCTATTTTTTTTATCCTCACCCAAGGATATGTTTATTGACTAGACAGAGAGAGAGACAGAGAGAGAGAGAGAGAGAGACAGAGAGAGGGGGTGAGAGAGAGAGAGAGAGAGAGAGAGAGAGAGAAACATCCATCAGTTGCCTCTCCTATGAGCCCCGAGCCAAGGATCGAACCTACAACCTAGGTATGTGCCCTGATTGGGAATCAAACCCAAAACCTTTTGGTGTATGGGCTATGCTTCAACCGATGGAGCCACCCAGCCAGGGCTGTTCTAGTCAACTCTTGCTGAAAAACACCCCACCCCAAATCAGTGGCTTAGAAACAACCATTTATGTTGATCTGTCCTGGTTCTCAGCGGGACGGCTCCCCCTCAGGCTCTGTCGTGCTGTTGTGTTCAGATGGTTATTTCCAAGCCGGACCGGGCTGAGTGCCATCAGTGGTTCTCAACCTTCCTGACGCCGCGACCCTTTAATACAGCTCCTCATGTTGTGGTGACCCCCAACCATAAAATTATTTTCATTGCTACTTCGTAACTGTAATTTTGCTACTGTTATGTCTTAGGCGACCCCTGTGAAAGGGTCATTTGACCCCCCAAGGGGTCGCGACCCACAGGTTGAGAACCGCTGGCCCAGGTGGTTCTGGTGCCTCGTGCCCCTCAGCTTCCCTGTCTCTCCACCAGGAGACTGTCTCCTGGGCTTCCCCACGTGGCCCTCAAGGGCGATGTTCTTCATCATCGTGACGCGGTTCCATGTGGTACCAGGCCGTGGATTTGGGAGGCAGAGGGATGTGCCTCTGAGCCTGGGGCAGTGTTACCCCACGGTGGGGTCTTGCGTGGGGACACGGGGAGGGGGAGGGCGGGCGTCAGTGACGCGGCACAGCGCGGTCCTCACGCAGGTGCCGGGCCCGGGAACACCGTGCTGTCTTGACTCTCCCGGTCTCGCAGCCGGACACTGGTTCAGGCCGAGAGAGCCTCAGGGAAGGGCAGCTACTGTTTGCTTAACACTGACGTGAGGCTGGCTTCATGGGTGTCAGTGCCGAGGGGAACTTTGCCCTCCCAGGTCATTGTCCCTGAAGGTCGTGAGCCCTTTGTCAGAGTTTTATTATTTTTTTAAATCCTCACCTGAGTATCTTTCCCCAGTTATCTTCAGATAGAGAGGGAGGGAGACAGAGAGGGGGGAGAGACATCAATGTGAGAGAGACACATCGATTGGCTGCCTCCTGCATGACCCCGACCAGGGCCAGGGACCGAACTGAAACCGAGGTACGTGCCCTTGACCGGAATCAAACCGGCCACTCTCTGGTCTGCAGGCCAATGCTCTAACCGCTGAGCAACCGATGTCAGAGTTTTCAAGAGGGTCTAACGCTCTCTAACCCAGCGGCTGCAGGCGGGGTCCAACCACGGGCAGGACTTGAATCCCACGCCTCCGGGACTCTCCTGGCGCTCAGACTCCTCGCCACGCTCCCCGCCATCTCAGCACTTCCCCGACGGACACGCAGGAGAGGCACGTCCCCTGGTGCCGGACGAGAAATACCAGGTCGCTGTCAGTTTGATTGAACCCGTGTTTCTAGGTAACACTGGACTACAACTGGGCAGGACACACGGCGTCACGCAGGGGACCACGGAGACACGGCCCACTCTGACTTCTAGAGTATTAACTTTCCTCCTGGCGATCAAACCGCCCACAAGGCTTTGTCGATCACAACGGAATGTCGAACGTCAGGGTCGACTGGATGAAACGCAGCTCCCCCAGGCTCTACCCCAGCTCCGCTGGCCGGGGACTCGGAATGCTCTGGGCTTTGGAGAAGTAATGCTGAGCACGTAGGGTCAGAGCAACCCCCGGCCGTCACACACGGATATTTCTGCAGTGAAACTTGCGGACACGCCCACGGAGTGGGAGAAATAAGGAACACGCGCAACGTCACCTCGTCGCAGGCCAAGCTCGCCGTCAAATTAGTGGCAAAAATCTTCCAGTATGTTGAAGCCCTTTGGCTTTACATCATGGGCGAAGGATCAGGAACCTCACGTCAGGACGAGCCTGTGCGCACCCGGAGTCTGAAGAAGAGCGACTGCCAGGGGCGGGCTCACAACATGGAACAGTACCGTTGGAGGAGTGACCGGGGACAACAGGAGTGTGAAAGTGGGTTTCCTGAAATCTTAAAACCACACAAAGCTATAGAAAGGTGACGTGAGACGTCGGCATGGTTTACTATTACACCTCGCCGGCCTCGTTCTAAGTGGGCTCTTTGGGGGTGCTCGCCCTGCCCCCGATCGGGGTGTGTGAGAGCGGCTTCCCCAGTTCCCTCGGCAGCCTGGCCAGCGCCGGGCACCTGCTCACGAAAAGGCCCAGCACCCCCTCTAGCGCCCTCGGCTTTCCAGAGCCCCCAGCAGCCGGGCCCTCACCAGTGCCACCCAGAGCGGTGAGGAGCTACCCAGACCCGAGCCCGCCCCCTGCCCAGCCTGCTGGCTGCCCGGCGCGGGCAGCTGTCTGCGCTCCCCGGAGCCAGGCTTCCTGGGCCTTTGGGGCCGCGGAGAGCTTTGTTCCAGGGACAGTTGGTGTGAGATGGTGGGCTAATTTCAGGAGCAATCTGGAATCCGTGACCCCCGGACTCCTTAGCATCAGGGGAACTTTCCCCACTGTTTACGAAATACCAAAATGACTTGCTCAACATCCGGCTCACGGTCTTGGAGGGCAGGACTAGATCTCATTCCTCTTTGGAATGGAGACGCGGAGCTTGGTGCCCAGACTGCCCCGGTCCTGGGCGGCTGCCCCCGTGGCACTCTGAACCCCAAGCCTGTGCCCAGCGTCCACCTGTGAGACCCAGGCATTGCCTGGTTGCCCGCGGCTGCCCCCCGGACCCACCCAGAACCCAGGCAACCCTCCACCCGGAGCCCGATCCTGCTTCCCAGAAGGAGGGTAAGGCACCTTCTCCAATATCGGAGGGTGAGGTAACTTCCCAAACACCACCCAGCTCTGAAATGACGGGCAGGTTTGCCCCAGCCCGCCGGACCCGGGAACCCATGCTCTGTCTCCTCACCCACGCTTCTCGTTCCGCAGAGGGGAATACTACCCTCCAGTTGGCAAATACTGGCAAATGAGGAGATCAACAGATTGATTTTAAAATTAGGACTCCAAATTTTCTCCATTTCAAAGTCCCTTTTCTCATTATAAATATTTCTGACAACGTGGAGGCCTGCTGTTTATTTTTAAAGTTTATTCATAGACAGTGGTAAAGGATAGATTTTGGGCCTGGTTAGGTAGACATCTGGAAATCCTAGACGGACCGCATGCCCACTCTGGGGGTGCCCCGAGGAGGAAGCGGATCCCGGGTCCTCTGCGGCGGGAGCACGTGCCAACCTCTCCTGTTTAGTTCCGCCACCACACAGGGCTGTGCACGGGTGCCCTTTGGGCATTCTGGTGCTGGGGTACCTGGTCCCTGCCCTAACCACACACCTGTGCCGGGTGACAAGTGGCTTGTCCACAGAAACACTGTGTGACCAGGAAAGGTCTTCACTGAGCCCCGGCACACATCCTGCACCCTGGCCTTCAGGCGCGGCCTTGACGCTGGAGATGCCCGTCCGTGGTGTGTGTGGGGGTGCGCATCAGCACCCTCCTTAGTCCGCAGTCCAGGACCCGACTCCCGCCCCCTGGGAGGTGCGGGCGCCCAGCGACGCAGAGGCAGGTACTTACTGTCTGTTCATAGCTCTGGGCATCGGGCAACCGAGAGGGAGCTGCAGGTCAGCCTGCGGAAACAACAGAAACCCGTTAGTGGCCGCACACACCGTGTTTTAATTCTGGTGAACGTGCTACTGTCGCTCCTCGTTAAGATGGGATACAGGTGCGGCTCAGAGGCGAGCCGGAGAGAGAATCCATCCAGGTTGAAAATTGGTTTATTTCTGGAGCGGGGTGGGGGCGGGGACGTCTTCCCTGACAGGCTGTCCTCTTTCTGTCAGCACTCATCACGTCTGCCCCGGGGAGCGGCGGACCCGTCCTGAGCCTGGTCGTCCCTGGCGTGCAATTGTGTGCCTCCCCTGGGCACGAGTGCACGCGAGCCCCGGCTGGCGGGCTCTGCTCTGGGCTCTGGGCGCTGTGGGAGAGGGGGCTTTTCCTTTGACAGTGTGACTTGGCCCTGAAGTATTTCTCGGGAGTTGCATTGATACTGTTTCACAGAGGACGCAGGTTTTAGCTGGGGCTCGTGTTCACCCACCCGGGAGAGTTCATTAGCCCCATTCCCCATACAAATGAGCAGCAGGGACCCTGGGAGGTATAAAGGATATTACCCACCGTATCAGGTGGGGTTCCAGCAAGAAACAGATGGTACCCTCAAATTAGATAATGTGAGAAGAGTTTAATGAGGTATGGACAGGGTGAAAGGAACCCCAAAAGACAGCGAAAGACTTGGTGGTGCTGTTACATGCCTGGGTGGGAGGGGTGCGGGGAGCCAGGGGGACCCAGAGACTGGGCTGATGGAAGAGAACCGTGGCTCCAGCTGAGGGACCCGCGGGGGAGGAGCTGTGGTGGGTGGACAGAAAAGCCCCATCCGACACTCGCCTTGCCCTGGACCTCTGGCCTCTGTCTCCCATTGGCCAAACTCAACAGGCAGCCAGGGGTAGGAATCCTAGACGTGGTTTTTATCCACCAGCCTCCTGGGCGCCCAGCCGAATGCAGCAGGGGGAACGCGGACCTCACAGTTAAAGAGAACAAAGCTTTCCCAGCTGGTGTGGCTCAGTGGATTGAGTGTCATCCCATGGACTGCGAGGTCCTGGTTCGATTTCTGGTCAGGGCACATGCCTGGGTTGCAGGCTTGATCTCTAGTGGGGGTGTGCAGGAGGCAGCGATCAATGTTTCTCTCTCTCTCTCTCCCTTCCTTTCTCTCTTTCTCTAAAAAAAAATCAATAAAAACATATTTTTAAAAACAGAGAGAATAAAGCTCATGGATGGTAAATAATGTGCTCAAGAGCAACCTTCTGCAACAAGAACCCAGATCCACAGAATTCAGAAGACCCGTTTCCTAGCCAGTCACCATATTGCACCCACTGCGCTTCAGGCATTTCCGTTTATTCTGCCATCCATCCATCCATGCATGCACCCACCCATCCATCCATGCATCCATGCATCCATGCATCCATGCATCCATCCATCCATCCATCCATCCATCCATCCATCCATCCATCCCTTCACCCATTCATCTATCCATCCATCCACCCATCCATCCATCCATCCATCCATCCATCCATCCATGCATCCATCCACCCATGCATCCATCCATCCATCCATCCATCCATCCATCCATCCATCCATCCATCCACCCATCCATCCATCCATGCATGCACCCATCCATCCCTCCACCCATTCATTTATGCACCCATCCATCCATCCATGCATGCACCCATCCATCCCTCCACCCATTCATCTATCCATCCATTCATCTATGCACCAATCCATCCATCCATCCATCCATCCATCCATCCATCCATCCATCCATCCATCCATGCATCCATGCACCCACCCATGCATCCATGCATCTATCTATCTATGCATCCATGCATCCATCCATCCAACTACCATATACCAAAAACCTGCTTTGTGCAAATGTGTGCCCAATCAAACATGGTCCTGCCCTTAAGGCATTCCTAAAGCTCCATATAACAGTTCCTGCATCCCTCTGTGATGGCTGCATTCAACGTGCTTTGTAAAACAGGTGTGTTTTTACAGGTGCCTGGGAGACTCAGGAATCTTTATAGAGGAGACAGGACTTGAGCTGGTTCTTGCAGAGTTAATCTGTGTCTTCTAGGCTGAGAATGAGGGACGGCACTGGGCAAAGGCAATGCCGCATGCAAAGGTGTGAAGTTGTTGGGACGCATGGTATACCAAGGGGCTTTGTGCAGCCTGGTGGGACCAGAGGGGTCAGGAACTTGGATGTTGGTAGAAAATGGAAAAGAACTTGGGAAGCCCATTGGATTCCAATTGTCAAAGACCAGGCATGCTGAGGGGCGGAATTTGACTTGAACTGTGTGGCCTTGGACCAGTAGCTGCAGGAAAGCTGCTAAAGGACTAGTAATGAGGCTCCAGGTCCTCAGACATCCTATGCGTTGTCCCACAGCCAACCCCCATCTCATGCTGCTAGGTCAGTGGGTGACACAGGAAAGGGAGACAGCTGCTGGGCTCTCTGGATGGCGAGTGGGGTACCTGCTTCGTGACCTCCTTTGGAAGCTGTCCCTCCATGGTGGTGGAGAACAGGACTTCAGCCTTAGTCACTGTAGCACGAACAACGCACATCAAATCCTGGCAGAGTCCTGGGCCGGAAGCCGAGGGCCTCTGTCATCCCACGACTGCCGTTCACTAGCCGTGTGACTCTGTAGGAGCACTGGTCCCTCCTCATTTACAGATGGCAGCGTCCACCCTGTCCTTCACGGTACTGTTTGAAGTGTGGGCAAAGCTGATGCCTAGGACCGTGCCTTACAAACTGCAAAGTGCTATCGAAACGGATACGTAATGACTTGCCTAGCAAAGTCGAGTTTGCAAGTTGCTTTCACACTGGTCATGTTATTCTGGGCATCTGGGGTGACTGACACCGGTTTGTGGGTATTCATGTGGAGAGGGTGCACTGACCTGACTGTGGGGAGACAGGACCAATTTCCCTGCCTCACTTTCGGAGCCTCTACCACTTAAGTGTCCGAGTCCCTTCGTTCCTTTGTATGCGTCTCAGCCTCGTGGAAGTGGCATGAGAACCGGACAAAGTACGTCTGTGCTCACAGAGGCTCCCTGTGCGCTCGGCTCACAGTGAAGGACCCACAGGTCTCGGCCAGTGCCCTCCAAGGCCTATTGCCTTGGACCGGAGGCCTGGGCAGGTGGCCAGGGAAGCCGATTGCTGGTCCTGTCCTGCCATCCGCCGTGTAGCCTTGGACAAGGCATTGGAACACGCTCTGGGCCTGTTTTTCTCACCTGGAAAATGAGCTGGTTGGTCCCAGTAGGTCTTTTCCAGCCCAAAGATTCCATGAAAAACCTTCATTTAAGGAACTACAGTCCATTCGTATTTGGTGACCAAAGAAATGGTTTTAAAATGTTGGAAACAGGTTGTTATGTCTCTTGCATCGTGCCCTCCCTAATGTGTCTTCCCACAGCTGCAGAAGCCTGGGGTGCCGGCGCCAGGACCCGGGGGTTGGGGGGCGGCGGAGGGCGTCTGGAACTGAAACCCTAGCGAATCATTTGACCTGGAACATCAGCGCTGATGCGGCTTGTGATTTGAAATTTGAATAATAGCTCAAAAAAGATATTTTGCCAATAGCTTTTGTGCCACGTGAGCCATCTGTTGCATAAAAAGAATGGAAAAACCTCCTAGAGAGAGCCTGGACTTTTCTGGCATTTACAAAAGCAGAATTTGGGGGCACAGTGACCCAGTCGGAGTATGAGCTGGGGGCTGAGATGTCACCGGCGTGACGGAATAAATGGCACCGTCCCAGGCAGATGGCGCCCTGCGGAGTGCAGGATGCCTGAGCCCTTCTGAGGGCTTGGTCGTCTTTCTCATGTGGTCACAGTCGTTTTGTAAAGGGTGGTGACTCAGGCAGAATTTCACGTCCACAGGCTTCACGGAGGTAATACACTCAGCAAGATATGGCCCTTCCCTCCCTGAATGTGTTATTTTCACAAAGAATAGCATGAACCTTGAATGCCTGTTATGTGTCCCTGTTCCGGCCACAATAACCCCATACAATCCCTGTCATCATTCTTATTTTAGACAAAACCAAACTGACGTTATGTGACCTGCTCTACACCGCGTGCAGAATGAGGTGGTACCGTGAGCCGTGGGCCTGGACTCGGTTCTGTTATGTGTTTAGACGACTGTCTGTCTGCCCCGAGCCTCGGTTTGCTTATCTGTGAAATGGGGGCAACACAGCAGCTCTCTGGAGGGCTCTTGTGAGGAGGATCTGAGAACGGTAGTTCCCCGAGACACGGGGAGATGGTGAGGACCGTGAACGTTGCCTCGAGTTTGGAGATTAGTGAAGGGCCCTCTAGCACGTCTAGGTTTTAGCCTCCAGGAATGATGAGCCCTCCCCTGCTGCCCATCCCGTGGGGTAAGCGTGGATTCTCCCCGCTGCCCGCCCCGCAGAGCGGCCTGGAGCTTTAAAAATACTGACGTCCCAGGAAGTTTGAGTCTGGTTCTGGGGCGGGCCCAGGCGTTGCTATTTCCCTGACGCCCCAGGTGTTCTGCGGGGCAGCGACGCAGAAGGCGGTGGACCCGAGCGCCAGTCCTGTTCGCCTGCCTGTCCAGTCCAGCCCCGACGGTCCCTGACTTCACCCTGAAGGGAAGTCCACGGACTGCCATTGCTATAAAGAACCCTCCAGATATTTAGGGTTATTTCCGAGTGCGTTTTCAGTGACAGTCACCCAAACACTGCTGACGAAGGGAGGGTGAGGACATCTAATCTCGCCAGGCAGCCGTTTCAGTCACTCCTGTCTACCGGCCACCGGGGGGAACCCAGGCTCCCGAGTCCGTCGCCCGAGGTAGAATTTGTTTGCGGACTCTGCAAACACGCACTGAGGACCACCTCTGTGCCGGGCTCTGCCCACCTACTGGGATGTGAAGACAGCAGCGCTCTGCCCTCGTGGTCCTGGAGTTCTCCATAGTGCTGGGAATGTCAGTACTGAGGGAGATTATGAACCTCCACATAATTGTGGAAGTAAAGGTGTGATTGCCTTGCAGTCTTTAGGGAGGTTCCTGCCCCAACTACCCCCAGGGGGA